GAATCGGAGCCGGCGCTCAATCTCGTTTGCTATTAAAAACACCTTTAGGCGGCTTTCCTCTGACATTCAGCTCAGGCTACCTCTCAAAGTGTGATACATGCACCTATTTAAATTAACAAAGGAATGACTTATTTTAATCCCGCCGTGCTCCAGAGTGCTGCAGCCGCTTGGATGAGCAATACATCATCCCGCACAGCGCCCCCCACTGCCGCGGGCCCTGGGACTCAGCGTGCCGTGACGTTTAGAGGGAGCCAAACAATTACCCCGCCGCGCAGCTCTGTCACAGGCACGCGCGCATTCATTACGGCGGGAGCGGGCGCCGCTTTCATTTGTCAGAAGTGAGGGGACAGCAGCAGAGGCAGAGGCGCGGGCTGCCGGCAAACAGGAACGGCCCGCACCTCCCAGCCTCAGCCGTCCGAGCGAGGACTGACTGTACACATAATCGTGTGGTACCAATTATCAGAGAAGGGAAAAAAGGAAAAAGATCCGTAATTACACACAATTTTTTTTAACCCAACTCTTATTAGTAAATCATTTGCTTTTCACTAACAAGGGTGGGGCGGAGGAGCACAGCTGTCTAGACACTGCAAATCGACAATCATGTATCTCCCCGTTTATTCTCCCACTCGCCCGCCAACGCCCCACACGCACATCTCCCCGTGTATTGTCCCGTTCGCCCAACGCCCCACGCGTACATTTCCCCGGTTATTTTCCCCCTCACCCGCCAACGCCCCCACGCGTACATCTCTCCATTTATTCTCCCGCTCGCCCACCAACGCCCCATGCGTACATCTCCCCGTTTATTCTCCCGCTCGCCCGCCAACGCCCCACGAGTACATCTCCCCGTTTATTCTCCCGCTCGCCCGCCAACACCCCACAAGTACATCTCCCCGTTTATTCTCCCGCTCGCCCGCCAACGCCCCACACGCACATCTCCCCGGCTATTTTCCCGCTCGCTCGCCAACGCCCCATGCGTACATCTCCCCGTCTATTCTCCCCCTCGCCCGCCAACGCCCCCACGAGTACATCTCCCCATTTATTCTCCCGCTCGCCCGCCAACGCCCCACGAGTACATCTCCCCGTTTATTCTCCCGCTCGCCCGCCAATGCCCCACGAGTACATCTCCCCGTTTATTCTCCCGCTCGCCCGCCAACGCCCCACGAGTACATCTCCCCGTTTATTCTCCCGCTCGCCCGCCAACG